AAGCCAAAACCTAGATATTTTAGGCAATATAGAAATCCTGGCCAGGACGCGTCCTGGGAAAATGGCACGTATGGTCACGCTAGGTTCTATAGTATTTTGTCGCGCCGTGCCACTGGCGTCCGGTGTAGACACGGTGTTAGGAATCGTGCTTTCCCTTATAAGGATTCACGCTTCGGGCACACCCCCTAACTCTAAATCAACAAACTGTACTGTATCAGGTTTCTATTCAAATTAAAACCATAAATCTAGGCTCCCTGCTCTCGTTTTCAAAGAACAATGCAAAACTGTGACATTTCAGCCACCGATGCTCTTCAGTGCTAAACCCAGCAGCGCTTGACAGCCCGCCAAAGGATTGCTGATTTAAAGTTTGAAAATGAGGAAAATTCATATTTAAAAAAAATATTTAAATGTTACCAAAAGTAAATATTAGAAGTCAATTAGTAAATATCATTAGTAAATATTAGCATTTTTAAGTTTACTGTATCTTATCTTATATCCGTAAATATATCAAAACTTAATTTTTGATTAGTAATATGCATTGCTAAGAACTTCATTCGGACAACTTTAAAGATGATTTTCTCAATATTTAGATTTTTTTGCACCCTCAGATTCCAGATTTTCAAATAGTTGTATCTCAGCCAAATATTGTGCTATCCTAACAAACCAAACATCAATGGAAAGCTGATTTCACACTGCGGTGATGAGCGGGCCGTTCTTCTGCGTCACATCTGAAGGTTTCTGCTGTCGCTGGCGTCTGAAGTGTTTTTGGCGAAGCGCAGGCCAGATTTATGCGGGAGGAGAAAGACCCGCTCTGGTTTTCTATGCAGGAACATGTTCATTAGTCTTTGGTATTGTATGCTGCAGTTTTGTTTTTGCAAAATCATAAATCTTTATACAATTAGAGAAGATCCACTTGGCTGTGCAAGCTTCCCTCAAGATTAATACGAGCAGCTCTGCTGCGCAGCACAAAATAAAAGACGCCTCCTGACAAAATAAATTACAGGCAAATGTCATTCATCTTCAGAATCGATCAAGCTCTGCAGGTTTATTGTTCTCGTGTGCAGTCCAGACAGAAGGAAGCGTTGGCTCTGTTGGGCCGCAGACTGAAGAGGCTCTGCAGCTGGTTTTGATGTGAATGCGGTGTGATGATGTTCATATGAAAGTGAAATATTGATGAAGGAGCGAGAGCAGCATGAGCTCACTGTATCTTGATTATGATGCTGTCTGTCTGCTGATGCTTGAGCTTCTTACGGTCTGAAATACACTCATGAGGGAAATCATGTCAAATCTGCAGCAGCAAAACATGAATATTGTTGCTTAGTTCAAAATATTCACCAATATGTGTCTGCAGAACAAATATTCCTCGTCTGTGAGTGAACGTAAGAACATAAACTCACGGAGGATTGAGGATCTTTATTACGTCACTGGATGATTTTTATTTTATTTTGTTAATTTTTCTGTTTCCATGGTAACAGCGCTTTCTCTGATTGGTGGATCTCTTCAGGATTATGGGTAGCGTTATGAACTGATTTTAATATGTAAAGCATTAGTGGTTCTCTGTCATTCGTTTGACTAGCATTGCTTTGTTGGTTCAGTACAGTTAGTGAATGTTGTTATGTGAGCGCTAGTGACTGAGATCCTTTAGTGTGTGTGTGTGTGTGTGTGTGCGTGTGTGCGTGCGTGTGTTTGTGTGTGTGCGAGTGCGTGTGTGTGTGTGTGCGAGTGCGTGCGTGTGTGTGTATTTGTGTGTGTGTGTGTGTGTGTGTGCGAGTGCGTGCGTGTGTGTGTATTTGTGTGTGTGTGTGTGTGTGTGTGCGAGTGCGTGCGTGTGTGTGTATTTGTGTGTGTGTGTGTGTGTGTGTGCGAGTGCGTGCGTGTGTGTGTATTTGTGTGTGTGTGTGTGTGTGTGTGCGAGTGCGTGCGTGTGTGTGTATTTGTGTGTGTGTGTGTGTGTGTGTGCGAGTGCGTGCGTGTGTGTGTATTTGTGTGTGTGTGTGTGTGTGTGTGCGTGCGTACGTGTGTGTGTGAGTGTGTGTGCGTGCGTGCATGTGTGTATGTGTGTGTGTGTGTGTGTGTGTGTGTGTACATTGGTGCAGTTATATCAGTTCATCTGTGTGTTTGACATGTTGAGATAATTAGAAACATTAACCCTGGTTAATACCTCATCAGCTGACCTGTGACCTGTGACCTCTGACCCTGCCGTTTATATCATTAATTGGTAAGTTGCAGTAGGCGACTGTTTTCTGAAGGGAGCAGCTCTTTTCTTCTGTGTTTGTATTGGGTCAAATATTTTTAGCAGACTGAGATATTTACCAGCTTAAAATTAATCTTTGGCCTGCTTCATCTCTGGAGGAATATGGTGCAGATCTTCAGCTTTCAGCTGGTCTTCGGCGGTTTGAGATCAGACGGTTTTTCAGGTCTCTGGCTTACTATTTTAAATGAACTATAATTCATGAGCACTATAATAATGCACCAGCCCTAACTCAGTGTACTGTAGAACTGCAGATACTGTAGTTCTGTTTAAGGTCAGGCAAGTTTAGTTTGCTGTAATTCAGAATTATGAAGACATTTTGTAATTATTTATTTTTCCCTGAGGTCCACTTATTATTAAAATATGTTACTGTGCCTTAAAGGCTTTATGTAAATGATTTATGTTATAATTACCTAAACTGTGTAGCTGCTGAATAGATTTATTAAATAGTGTTGACTGGACATCCTTATATTAATGAGATTATTATTATTATTAAAATGCATTCATAATTCTGAATAATTTGTAATAATTATTCTCGGTATTTTGAAGTGCCCATGATAACAATACCGTACATGTTCATTATCGTGATATATCGCATTACTGAATACCGAACATGTCTACTTTTGAGTTGTGAAAGGTGTTTTATAAATCGAGGCCAAGATCAAAATCAAGGAAACCTTGATTCTTCACGATTAGACCCTATAATGAATACCTCAATCACGAGATGTCAATATCATTAATATTACAAATGTCAGTAATATCAGTAATGTCATTAATTTTAGTTACTTTACTCTTAGTAATATAATTTGTACTGTATATTCATAGTAGTCATTTGTAATATTAATAATGTCATTCTTATTACTAATTAATAATAGTATTAATCATGTTAGTGATATTACTAACTTCACTAGTGTTAATAATATGAGTAATATCAGTGATTCATAACATTAGTAAAGTCAGTCATATTAGTAATTTATAGTTGTAGTAAGTTAAATTTAGTTAAGTATTTTTTAGTATTTAGCAAGTAATTTTAGTCCGTTGTAATGTCTGTAGTATTAAATATTTCAGTAGTATTAGTAATGTCATTAATATGAGTAACATAATATTAATAATGTCAGTCATAATGTCTGTAATAGTATTAATTTCAGTAGTATTAGTAATGTAAGTAATATTAGTAACTTATAATATTAGTAATGTCAATCAAAATGTCTGTAATATTTGTAATTTTACAAGCACTATTAATGTCTGAAATCTATGTAATTTGTAATATTAGTAATGTCAGTAATATAAGTAATTTAATTAATATGAATAATGTTAGTGATGTGTTTTTTGTGGAGGGTCTGACAGCTGTTTCTGTATGAAGGTCATGATGATTTTCACTCATGAGGCTTTTATGAACTAATATTAACATCATAAACTGCAGCATAATGAGCAGCTGCTGATGGTGTTTTCAGGTGTGAGAGCGACCCTGAAATGATGCTGTGTGTGTGTGTGTG